TTAAATAATTACGTGCTTTTTTATTAATGTTTTCAATGTCTTCATAGTAAAGTAGATTTTATTTCTTTTATTATGAGAAAGTTGGGTTGTGTGGAATTTTCGGGGTTTTAACACCTCTGAATTTTTAAATTCATTACACGGGGCTATACTTAGGTTCTTAATGTGTTTAAAGCAAGTAGGAAAGGCTTATATTCGGTTAGATCAACAGTTTTATATCTTCCAACATAGAGAAGGCATTTTACTAGCCATTGAGGTAAGCATTCTCGCATATAAATATCACTGTGCAATAGCGAAATTTCCTTGTGGTATAGAAAACCATTGGCGAGTATATCAATAACACAGTAGGGCAAATTCCCCATAGGCCTTGTATTTAAGTTACAGAATAATGCTTTTTCCGATTTGAACTTTAATTCATGGAAAAATCGTAGTACATATTTGTTTGCAAGTTACAAAAGTGTCCCCAAAAAGATCATGAAATCAATATTTATACCATACACAACTATGTTGTAAGGGTATTATACCTTTGTGTGGTGCTTAGAGATTGTAATGCCGCGAAATATTGGTCCTAGATGTAAACAGGATGCAGGCCCCATGCCCCACGAAATCTTGCATGTAGGACCGGTTCTGGTCAAAGAAGTAGCCTATTGTTTTTGGTAATGAAAAGAACATTTTGTGTGTGTGTGTTTTTCTGGTCGCTTTAGAGGCCACAATTATAACCCGAACATGACGAAATTTAGCGCAAAGAAATGGGTCCGACCATAGAAATGAGCGTAACTGTTTTTTGAGGTTTATCGAAGACAAGAAATCGATATTTATACCATACACAATTTTTTTGTAAGGGTATTCTAGCTTTTTGTAGTCCCAAGAGTTTGTTACGCCTCAAGAATTGCTCCTAGACCCAATATTTTACTGTACCGATCGTCATATCTCGACTTGCTGAGCCGATCTAGACATGTGTGTCCGTCCCTCTGTCCCTTATTATTTGTAAACACAGGATACAGGTCACAATTATGGACCAATCGTCACGAAATTTTGCACGTTGGATGGACTCTGGCCAAAGAAGACTTATATTGTTTTTGTTAATGATCCGTTAATATTTAGGGGGTGAAATGGACCAAAAACTTTATTTTTGTCGATTTTTCAGGTCGCTCTAGAGACCACAATTATGAAATTTTACACCACGAAGGAAATTTGTCCATAGAATAAGCATGAATCTTTTCATGAACATCGGTCATAGTATATCCAAGAGGAGATGTTCATAGTATATCCAAGAGGAGTGATTGACCTTTTAATTGATATAAACTTTATTTTTCTACCTAGTCAGATGTGGGAGTTTTTCTTAAATACTTACAGGTGTCTACGTATTCTGATATAGTATAGTATTACTATTACCACATTATAGGGTATACGTTTCGGAAATTAGTATGGGGTTCCGGTTGTGGTCAAGGACGCCGCCAATAATTTTCGATGATGAAAACTTAATTTTTGTCTGGTTATCTAGTCACTCTAGTCGTCACAATTATAAGCCGAGTATCAAATCCCCATGGAAAAGGCCAACTAATCAATTTTTAGTGGTTCAAATGGACCAAAACTTTTTTGTGTAAATCTTAGACCACGAAAATATGATTTGGAAAAGATGACGCAAAGGAGCTGTTGACCTCTAATCGGTCAAGAGAGTGCAAATATCGCGAAATATTGTCCAGACCTGGAATATATATCCGCAGATACTTAGAGCTCGTGTAGTTGGGTAGGGTATCATATGGTCGACCCATTGTTGTTTTTTTTTTAAGATTAATCCAACTGAAGACATGTCATCTCAAAAATGGCCTGTTGTTGTAATAATATTCCGAAGGAATTGTAATATTCTTTCGAATGTACATACGAATATTCTTTCGAATGTACATACGAATGGTGCTGGCATATTCCCCCACGTTCAGGTCGAAATTTGCACTGTTTTTTGTGGATTGTGGATACGTTTCAACTGAATTGGCTGTAGATTGGTATTCTGGAGACAAGTATTTAAAAACAATTTTTCCGATAATTTGTCTAATATTCATATCAGTCATTCGAACCGTTATCTCGTATTTTTTCCATTTACTGAACCGATGTCTGAAATATTAAATTTAAAAAAAGGATATAAAAGTGGCCTTGTTGACCCTGTACATACTTTACATTGAATCCAGTTACCTTCTTTATGAAAAAATTGTGCCACTGAACTCCAACTATATCAATGTAGGGGAGTTAGGAGGAACTCGTCAGCAGTGTTGTAGTGCCACAGATAAATACAGTCAAATTCGCTTATTTGATCGCCAAAACGCGAAGCATATACTTTTCTTCAATTAAGCGATGTTGTTTTCAAAGAAACATGACCTTTTAGAAGTAAGTTTTCAATTAACCGATTTTTCATTCAAACGGTGCAAAATGTATGAAAATTTTAAAGAATTATTAAGTTCGAACATTCTACTTTTGTCCCTTATGAAACATCTGTCTTGGGAAGGGAAGTTTGATAATGACATAACGTCAGCCATAACCTATACCATGGCTTGATTTGTAACTTAACGTTACGAAGGCCGATTTAATGATAGGAGACCAGAAAAACTTTCCAATATTTAGATGCGCAAATTTCTCCTCGCCAATGAAATAATTATTTAAATACCGTCATTTAATTCAAAACTATGGACCCTTCATTCCGTAGAATAGGCAAGGTTAAATATTTTACAAAAATTTATCAACATAGCTCCATGTTTTGGTATTGGTTCCAATAAAAATAAGATTCGATTTTCTATCTGAATTTGCATTTCGACATCTAAAAAATTTAAACAGAAAAAAAACGTCGTTAAGTTTTACGGGGCGAACTTTTTATACGCTCTACCACGTGGGATGCATTCAAAATTATTTAAGTCTATATGGGGACTATGTTATGCTGTTTTATGTTAGTTTTTTCATGCCCGAAACAAATAGTGTTCCAATTGCGTTTTGTTAATATAATTTTTATTCGCCAAATTATAACCACTTTAAAGAGAAAATTCTGTTAAAAATTGTTTAATACCGAAAAAGATGTGGACTTTTATTTGGCGTTATATCAAAACTAGGACCTATATATACATCGCACAAATTTGTATATAAGTCAGCCTTCCAGAACCCTTTATACCAAATTATAACCGCATCGATTGAGAAAATGCAGGTGAAGTCTTCAGAATGCCGAAAATGTTATGGTATCTTTCTGTGGAAGCTATACCAAACCGTAAACAGGCATTGATAATTTTTAAAAGGAAAATTTGACAACCCATAAGAATTTGATTAATCAAATTAGAGTGAATTCGGTTGAAAAACATGCTAAACCTCCCAAAATACGGCCAATCAATTTGTTGGGGAGTAAAAATACTCAATGAGAATCAAAAATAATTTGGTTGAAGCACGTGTCCAAGCTCCTCAAAATACCCAAATTTGTGAAGAATCGCGTTATGGGGGATTCCCCAAAAGCGAACCAATACTGATCATATATAGTAGAAAAATTTGACATCCCATGAAAATCTGAAATATAAAATTAGAGCCAATTCGGTTAAAAACTGCGCCCAAAACAAGGCTGGCTACTCGGAAACATGGGACAATGTTGATAATATTTTGTAGGGATATTTTCTGCTTAATGAGAGAGAATTTAAAATATTAAATTGCTACCAAATTCATTGAAGCACGTGATCACGCTCTCTAACATATCGGTCTTTGGTGTGTAGCGCTATACGGAGGCTTCTTCAAAAGATGGACCAATATTGATAATTTTAGTAGGAAGATTTACTACCATACCACAATGTGAATACAAAATACCAAATAACAGCTGATTTTGTTGAAAAACGTGTCTAACGTTATATGGGGGCTACTATAAAAAGTGGATCAGTATTAATAATTTTTGTTAGGAAGATTTGATAACCAATGAGAACCACACTTAGAAAATTACAGCTAATTCGGTTGGAAAACGTGTCAATAATCCCTATTATAACTAATATTTGGGGAGGCTACACCAACGCGTGGACCGATGTACCCCATTTACAATACCAACCATCCTAGGAGTAATAACAATGACAGTAGAAAACTTCAATGCTCTATTTTAAATATTTCGATATATATCGTGATTTATTCTCATCAAGTATATATATACTTTATGGTGTCTCCAGTGAATATTTCAGTGTTTTGCAAATGACAAATTTAATATACACTTGACCTTATGTTTGGGGTTTAAAAAGAGGTAAAAAATTACATCGTTTCTATGTATCATTCTTCAATGCCGAGTCATTGTGCGTCGTTTTCGTACCTATTAACGGGATTTTTTACCTCCACTTTTTCCCTGAGATCGTTTTATAGATCCGATATCCAATTTTTTCTGATGTATCCTAAAATTAAATTTCGATTTTTTTCTGGTCATCAAAATATAATTTCGAAAGCAACGCACTTTTTGAACTCTAACAAATCCAATTCGCTGAAATTGGTAAAGCCACAAATCCATAAATTAATTAAAATTTATTAATTCAATTTAATTAGGAAATCATTCTTAAAAAAAGCAGTATGTACTTCAATTGCAGTATGTTTTTAGTGCAATTGTGGTGGTGCTGTGCGTTGGCAAACATACATACATTCACTTGAACTACTTGGGTCAGCACAAATGCATTTCATTCATTCATTGAATTGCAAGCAAAATACCAGAACGAATTGCAAAAAAAAAACTAAAACGACAAGAACTGAAACAGCAAACTTTGGTCAACTTGTCATTGGATGTTACGTGTGTGCCCCACCGCTCACACACACACACAAATTGAACAAAAACTATTTTTTTATAAAAAAAGAACTGGCGAAACAATGTCAGCAACACTCCAATAGACAATAAACTGTAACGTGAACAATAAGCAGCAAACTATGCCACAAAAAGCAATGACTGTAACATGTCTTCTTCTTCTTTCTTTAACTTATTGTCTTTATTCATTTTTGTTTTTTTCCGTTTTTTGCAGATGTCAACAGGAAGGCCCATCAAATGTGTTGTCGTTGGCGATGGTACGGTCGGCAAGACATGCATGTTAATATCATATACCACAGATAGTTTTCCCGGTGAATATGTGCCTACAGTGTAAGTTCGAGTATTGTATATTTTTTGCAATCGAATCACTTTTTACAATTATTTTTTAAAAATAATGTTTCCTTTTTGTTGTTGTTTTTAGTTTTGATAACTACTCAGCACCAATGCAGGTGGACACAATACAGGTATCATTGGGCCTATGGGATACAGCTGGACAAGAGGATTATGATAGACTCCGACCACTTTCATATCCACAAACGGATGTTTTTCTGATATGTTTTTCAGTGGCGAGTCCATCATCATTTGAAAATGTCACCTCCAAATGGTATCCTGAAATAAAACATCACTGCCCAGATGCGCCCATAATTTTAGTAGGTATGTATATGAGGGGGGATTAGTTTAAGAGAATACGATGTTGCTGGAAGTGTTTGTTGGGTGTGTTAAATTTGCCATTTCGTTTGTAACACCTCCGGAATATTGGTTGTAAATCCTACTCTGATCGATAGAAAAGAGTAAAGTTCTATGCCGATTTTGCTTTAGAAGTAGTATGTCTTTTGAAATCACTAAAGAGTTCGCTTTATTGCACATATATTGCTACTCCTTCTAGGATGTTTGGTATTGAAATATGGATATTATTAACATATATATAACGGTCCTCCGATATTCTGTATTTTGAATTTTTTTTGGCCACAGTTTCTAATCGAAGAAATTGCAATTTGGGATTTCAGGTACTCGAATGTTGAAAAATTTCTTCTGAAACAATATTAAATATTGGTTTATGTTTCCGCTTTTTGATGTTCCTATCCGCATATTCTAAAACATATAAAAGATTTCATGGGGGATAAGTTTTTTTGTAGGACCATGTTTTTTCTGTCTCTTTATTAAGGTCCAGTCTAATTTTAAGTATTTTGATTAATTGGCCAAGTTTCTTAAACGAATAAGCAATAATTTGATATTTTATTTTAGTTATAGCCCGCATATAATGGTACACCCGATTTTGGGAATTTTTAGAATATTGACCACATTTTCCAACTGAATTTTCTGTACTTTTGTTCAATAATTTCACAAAAACTCTGTTTTACGCCCCAAGTATTCATGACTGTCATTTGACCCAAAATTTCTTAGTTTTCTTCCTTTTTGTGTTTATGGACAAGTTATGATCCTTAGCTACGACGATGTAGGAGAGCCAAGAGCTACTCGTCATTTGTATGTTTGTGTCATATAGTGATCTGTTATTCTACCGTATATCCTACTCTTGATACGAGAGGCAACAAAAATGAATTCGTCTCAATATAATCTCTTCATTCGTAAGGAGTAAATCTCCGGTTCGATATTTTTGAATGTTTCAATTATATATTCCTTTTACTCTTGATACGAGAGGCAACAAAAATGAATTCGTCTCAATATAATCTCTTCATTCGTAAGGAGTAAATCTCCGGTTCGATATTTTTGAATGTTTCAATTATATATTCTTTTTCCGTCGTTCTGCACAGTAAATGTAATTTGTTTAACAGTTTGAAAATGGATGAAAATTAAATTCTGAAACCACATTTCGAACACTAGGTGTAGATGTAGTTGTGCTCTGAGGCAATGAGTAAGAGAATGCTTTTGTCTAAAACAAGTGGAGGGCAAAGATCGTCAGCACTCCTTATATCTCTGCTTCTAATAATAACAGAGTTAATTAAGGAACTATGCATTCATGACTTAAGACCAGTGACTATATATGTCGATAGTCAAGCGCCTTAAAAACACTTAAGAAGTGGACTACAAACTCTAGAATTATTCAATACCATAAAGTAACATTATAGCTTTATAAGAAGTAGAATTTAAACAGCTTCCAAGATATCACCTGAATATTTCACGTTTTAAACTTGGAAACGTTGTTGTTGTCCTATATTACTTACGGAACCCATGGTGAACATCCGCAACTGTATAGCTGTCCCAAATCCTCTATAAAAGGCGTGGATTTTTAAAAAGCACTTTTCAACGTCAAGTTGTGGGTTTTATGAAGAATATTTCTTCAAGGTCTTGTCAAGGTGTGGATTTTTAAAGAATACGTTTTTCAAGGTCTATACATGGCGTGGATTTTTAAGAAGACTTCAAGGCCTATAAAACCCGTTTATTTTTAAAGAAGACTTTTTCAAGGTCTATACTGGGCCTGGATTTTTTAAAAAATATTTTCAATGTATTTTTTCAAGGTCTATACAAGGCGTGGATTCTTCTTCAAGAGACTTCTTCAAGGTCTATAATTGGCGTCGATTTTTAAAGAGGACTGTTTTCAAGGACTATTATTGGCGAGGATTTTTATGAAAGACTTTTTCAAGGCCTATACAAGGCGTGGATTTTTATAAAAGACTTTTTCAAGGTCTATACAAGGCGTGGATTTTTAGAGAAGACTTCTTCAAAGTCTACACAAGGCGTAGATTTTTAAAGAGGACTGTTTTCAAGGTCTATACAAAGCGTGGATTTTTTAAGAGGACTGTTTTCAAGGTCTATACAAAGCGTGGATTTTTTAGGAGGACTGTTTTCAAGGAGTGGATTTTTAAAGATGCTTCTTTAAGGTCATTCAGAGGCGTGAATTTTTAAAGAAAACTTTTTTAAGGTAACTCAGAAGCGTGAATTTTTAAAGACAAATTTTTTAAGGTAACTCAGAAGCGTGGATTTTTAAAGACAACTTTTTTAAGGTAACTCAGAAGCGTGGATTTTTAAAGACGACTTTTTTAAGGTCACTCAGAAGCGAAAAATCTTCCAAGGTACATACAAATCTTGGATTTTTAAAGATTTTTTTTTCAAAGTTTAAAGAAGGTGTGGATTTATTGAGAATATTTTTAAGGGAGAAGTTGAGGTACCACCACAGTTTACAATGGGTGATGTTGAGAACCCATTGTAAACTGGTGGTACCTCAGCGGAAAGAAGCGATTTTCGACGCCGTAATACTCTTCATTTCGTCCTCGCTCGAGAAACTGTCGATAAAAATAACTGGCGCATTTCATCTTATCAGTCACTGTTTCGTTGTTAAATGTGACTTTGCCAAAGCCCACAGTTTATCCACACTTTTTTAAATGTAGCACCACTTCAGATGCTCTAACCAATTTGATCCTGGGATGTGCTGGGTTAGATGAACGGTGTTTTTATGGTTGTTGTTGTAGCAGCCCTATTGCTATTTACACAATGGGATGAGGTGATAGATGTTGGTCGAGAACGACTCTGGTCTTTCTGATCGTAGCCCCCTCTGTCGTGGAAACAATGTTCACCCATATCACCTATTCACTCAATTGATGTCTAAGTAAAGTGGGGTTTTTAAGTTCGCTTCGGTCAAAAATTTCACTTTATATGTGCGACAGTTTTCCTACTCATTAAGGGTTGTCCCCGTGATTAAGATGAAACCTCTCTTCCATAATTAAACTGAGTGGCGTAATAGTCCTCTTTATAGAAAAATGACCAACTCTTATTTACCATTCGATAAGTTATCCACCAATTAATATAATTGGGGTTTGAAGGGAATTAGTTGAACTTGATGATATCGCTGTGCCAATTGAAATTCCAAGTGCGGAGGTTATAACAGAGGATGTAAATGCAACCACTCCAACAAAAAGAGGATTTATATATGACAATGATATAGCTTGAGTATTTCGTTGGATTGTCTACATAACGGGAGTCCGATATAAACCCTATAGCAACTGATGGAAACGAGTTCATGTAACACTCCAAGACTTGGTTAAATTACGATTTTAATTTCCGTCTTGTCAATTTTGGGATTTCTGGCACTCGGTAATTTTCTCTGAACTCAACTTGAGGACGCGTCCGTAATATTTAGACCTGTGTCCTTAAGCGGACCTTTCGTTTTCAAAATTTTTGCAGGAAAACATAGCAGTTTCCGAAAGAACCCGTTCCCGGTATATTCATCCATATAGATGTATTTGTATGCAATCTGAAAAGGGTCTTTTGAATTGATGGCAAATCATATTCATTTTTTCAATACTTATAATAGACACTATTTGTTCATCAACAGGTACCAAAATTGATTTACGTGAAGATCGTGAAACCCTTAGTGCATTGGCCGAACAAGGTTTAGCGCCACTGAAACGAGAACAAGGACAAAAATTAGCAAATAAAATAAGAGCTGTTAAATATATGGAATGTTCAGCCCTAACGCAAAGAGGTCTAAAACAGGTATGTCAATTGCAATTACTCTTCCACATCGACAAATAACCGACCTTTCCTTTTTCCATACAATTCAAGGTATTCGAAGAGGCTGTGCGTGCCGTATTAAGACCTGAACCACAAAAACGACGTCAACGAAAATGTATAGTTATGTAAATATAGAACACATTCATGGTTTATATATTTTGTAACATTTCCTGCAACACCTCCTTCAAATATCCTGTTTCCATTTCCTCCACAAAAACTATATATATTTTTTGTATTATGTCGTCGTCGCCATTATCATCAATCAATTATCCGGGTTATACGTATATCGTCTTTCTATCTCTCTCTCAGTCTATCCTCAAAATCACTATTTATCAATATATAAATAATTATCTTTTTTATATTTTTTGTATGTATATTTAACTAAAACAAACAAAAAACTATTTTTATTTAAGTGAAAAAAGTAAAACAAATCGAATTAAAAAGATATAATATTTGAGAAGCTAATATTAACAAAAAACAGAAAAAAATGTCCAAATGTCCTTTTAAAAAAAGAAAATTGTCTACAATTTTTTTGTAATTCTAAGAGATAACGCAACACAACACAAACAAATCAAATCGAATCAAACCACTAGTTTTTATACCTTTTAAACTATTAAAAAAAAACTAAAGAAGTAACAAACCCTAAACACCATAAGATAATACTAGAACTAACTTAAATAAAGAACTCCTCCTCAGAAAAAACACTCTTCCTTCCAAAAGAAAAGAAAAAACAAACTCGAATATATTTTAATAATTTCTTTTTGTATTTTTTTATGTTGTAATTTATAATTTTGTTGACATTTTCATTTCATTCATGTCCATCATAGAAATTCGTCCTTTTGCGCCATTAATCATAACAGAAATCAATCATTGCCTAGATTTGATATTTCTCGAGTCATTTTATTTTACAAGAAGAAAAACAGAAACCCTAAAAATATTTTGTTTTATATTTTTTTATTTAATATTGCTTTTATATGTATTTCAAAAAAACTTCTCGAATTTAGTTGAGATTATTATTGTTTTTTTATTATCTATGTTTTGTGTAATTATTTAGTTGTTGATATAGTAACAAAATATATCGTAATACTATTATTTATAAAAAAAGAAAACAAAAGAGTTCTAAATCATTTCATCATTTATTGTAAACTGTAATCCATTGTGTGTATGAAGTAAAATACGTAGATATTGGCTCAATATTGTTCGATTTTGCATAATTGTTTTAGCCATGTGAAATTAATGAAATTTTTTTAATAATGTGTCTAAAGATCCAAGAACTTTACGAAGAAATTTCAAATTCTGTTTGATTCTCCCTTTTTGGGAAAATGTTCAATTTTTATGCTACAGAAAGATTGGTCTATTCCTACAATATTTTACAAAGACTTATGAAGACCAAAATTCCAGAAAGTATATTTCCGACTTACCATAAAAAAGTCGACTAAGCATCTCCATAGAAATTACTATACACCGAGGATTATTTAAGACTTTATACTCCAAACATTGGAATATTTGCAATTGAACTCCAAGAAATTTGACATTAATTTAGCGCTTGGGGTTCTCAAGGTGTTAACGGCATAGTACCCAACATTTTGTATCCAAGTTTTGGCAAAGTCCATATAACCCTCCGATTATCGATGTTTTGAAAGTCGTAGTCTAAGTTTTTCATTGTTTAATATATAATGGTCGTTATGGACTTGAGTCAAACGACGATTGATTAACAACACTGTAAAGCCTTCCAGAACCGAACATAGAACTCATCTATTGTAAGACAACAGTGTCCCACTCTACGAATGTGGGTGTGAGCCTCCAGTCCAAAGGTGTTCGTCTACTAAGCTCTCCTTCAGTAAATCCAATACAGGAATAAATTCATGACATTGAAAGGAAGGTATAACAGCGTATATTATGACACTCCCATTGTATCACTTATAATGCGACCGCATAGAATTAGTGTATAAATTGTCCAGTAGATGCCTGTACTTGTGCCGCTTTCCATCTATAGTTCATCGGTATATATGGCAATACCATATCTTGTACCTTAATTATCCTATAAAGAATTAGTAGTTGCCAGAACTGGTTATGCAAAAGGATGGCACATGTAGCGTCAGTAGCACAAAGAAGGAAAGTTTAATTAATAACATTTTTAATTAATTCAATAAGACGATTTTCCCATAAGTCGAGGTTTTTATTCGGGATAATCGTGGTTTGAAATCCCTTGTGAAATATCACAGTATGGTTTTTATATCCTCAGCCTTATGGTTAAGGGTTGATACGGCGAAAATGTGCCCCTTCGAAATATTGGTTCCCCATGTTTCCCCATGTTTCTTTGGACCAAATTCGTTTCAGAAAATTTGGAGTCGATTTACAAATGTCCGTCCGTATGTCTATCTGGCCGGCTGTTGCGCACGATAACTCTCGAAGGGAGTAATCGATTTCAACCAAACTTAGTTCAAGTTCGAAGATGGAGAATATCAGTCCACTCCTTCTGGTACCTTCCCCACAAAAGGTCAAATGGTAAATATTTTTATAAATCCAATATTAGGTGATGCTATTATTTTCACAAAACCTAGATCAGGTCTCCCCCAGAAAGAGTGAATATTTTATGAACTTTTAAATTTTATTAAATTGAATAACCGATTTGATCAACATTAACCTCAAACATAATGCTAATAATTCACAAGACCTTCGTAAACCATAGGCTGAGGGTGTATATCTGTCCGCAACTCCGACTGACACTATTTTACTTGTTTTATTGTAGATTGTTAATCTTCAATGTTTGTTTCACTACTACTAGGTTCCGTACCAAATTTGGAGGTGTCTCTGAAAATGTCCCTTATTGTAAACATCGATATTTAGAAACTATTGTCGTTTAATCCGCTGTACATTGATTCTAAGGATTTTGCGGGTTCAAGCCCAAAACAATTACAATCTGCCCACATAGGTAACATGACTTCCTGTTATACCCTCCTAAGAACTACGCCATCAGCATGTACGGTAGTTTTTTACATAATTGATCATCAGGAGAGACACAATAGGACATCAACTAGCACTTGTGATGTATGGAGGCTTAGGATTTCAAGGCAGTCATCATCAGTTGAAGTTTTTCTGTGAGTTTCCTTAATTTATTCTGAATCAGTAGGTGTGGGTAGGAGTGGAGGATTTGAGGTCGACCAAGGCATAGCATCCTTACTGGGACTTGTTATATAAATCAAATACCATTCGAGGTACCCAGGTATCAATGATAATCAGTTCGAATACGTACCGACTGTATTCGAAGTGAGTATCGTTGATACCCGACGACTACAAACATTGTACACTGATATGCACAAGGTGGGATAACCCCTCAGCGTTAGGGAGTCGTACATTAGGGTAGGAAACTAAGAATCCATGGTGTTTGATTAATTATAGGGGAGCCATAACTTCCATATTCTTGATTTTTAATGTTTCCTGTAAATTAGTTTTTACTTAATTCAAAGATTTTTGAGACTTATTGATATTAAATATATATGGCGAATATTTTGTAGAAAATTCTCAAATTCTAGAACCACAAGTTAAACTAGTTTTCAAGAAGCCATAAAAAATACTATTAAGGATGTAATTAAAATACAAAAATATTCCTTGTGTTTTATCAATAGTTTCCAAGAAATGCTTATCCGATTATCAAAAAAAAAAAAAAAAATAAATAAATAAATAAAAAGGGGAATATTGCCTCCTTTTTAGTAACTTTCTGATAGAGACATTCAAAACATCAGTACACGTGTCTTTTGCAGTATTATACATATTATATGGACCACTATCCAAAACTGGTGTAATTTAATGGTTTTCTGAACAAATTGGCATTTGCCAAAACAATGCCAATTTTGGTAGTGAATGTCCATGATTTCATGTGTTGTCCATACAACGGCACAATCTACAGATACGGAAATGCTAACTTCTTTAATACAGTTTTAAAATTATAGCTGTTTTCGAACCTAAATGATTTTTTACTAATTAGAATCCCTTTTTAAATTTGAGAAGTTTAGCCACCTTATGAATAAGAACATACCAATTATTTAAAAAAGAACATTCAAATTCATCTGAACTCTTATTCTATAAAATGTTTTTGTTCTTTTTTATTTCTAAAAAATAAAATAACAAATATATAATTATTTTTCTAATGAGTGAGAAAATGTTTTCTTCGTAAAAGAAAGAAAAGCAAAACATATTACCACCACATCCCCTATTAATAGTTAAACAAAAAAGAAGAAAAACTCTATCTATAATAACAAATAAAGCTTATTTTTAAAAATAAAATTTATAATAATTTTAATAATATAAAAATAACAAAATTTTTTATTTGTTTACTATAAAAAAATGCTTATCTAGTCAATTGAATATTTGTTTTATTTTTTAACAATAACAAAACAAACATAAAAAACAGAAAGAAAAATCAAATGCAAGAAACGCAAACAAAACAAAACAAAAAATGCTATAAGTAAACAATGTAAAATAAACGCGAGAAATAACAAAATCAACATTAAAAACCATAGAAATAAACATTATTATTAATTATAAATCATTTTTCATTCATATACTATATGCGCGCATATCATTAACTACTCATTTCATTTTCATTAAAATTTTTCTCTTAAATCCCAAAACTATTCCCCTTTCCCCGGCAATTTAATTTGCAATTCTACAAATAAATAATTTAACTAAAAAACACCGAAGCGTATATAAAAAAGAAATAAAACAAAAACAAACAAATATTAAGCACAAATTTATTTAACTTTAACACAAAGAAGTAAAAAACAAAACATTTAAAATTGAAGAATGTAAGGCAGGCAGCTTGCTAATATTGAAAAATATAAATAAAAACAAATTACATATAATAATATTTTCTTTTTTATACAAATATGTATTTTTTTATTATTATAATTTTATTGTTATATTTTTTACTTTTATTTTAACAATATATTTACTGTCATCAATAAATGTATTAATGAAATGAACAACAAATATAATTGTTTTTTCTTAGTGTCTTATCTTATTCACCTATGAGATAGAGGTCGTTTGGTGTATTTTATTGGATACGGTATCAGAGTTACATTTCCGTCAACGTCATTCTCGATAGATTGACCATTCCGGTGTGTCACTGTCACGACAACAACAACAACGTGGCGATCGTCGCACTTTGGTCAACACGGTAAGAAATTGTGACTTTTTAGACAGTTAGTTGTTAAATACCTCTCCATAATGACATTGATGACCTCTACGTGATTATTCCAAACAGTGAATCTTGGACAAGTGACTCCTTACCTCTGCACTATGATCCTAAGCACTACTTTTCTTGGCCAAAACAATTTAAAGTTAAAATACTGGTATTTTTAATATGGATTTAAATAAAAGCTAACTATTTATAAAAAAAATAACACTTGTAATGAAAATTAAATAAAAACAAGCAAAAACGATGTTATTTTTTGTCTGGCATCTGTATAATGTACTTTCAAAAGTTCTTAAAAAATAAAGACCCTTATTGGGTCTATGTTACAAGATGGGTCTACATCGAAAATATTTTGGAAGGATGTTTTCACCCTACGATAACAGGAAATGTCCGTCATGTTATTTTGTTAGGATAATCGAGAATTCTAAATTATAACCATTCGATGGGACAGTTGCCTCCATGAATCCATAATGCTAAATTACAGCGACTTTGTTATAAAAATGTCAATGTTATATGGGAACGATAATTCAAAATATCATATTAGAGCTAATTCGGTTTAAAACATGTCCAAATTCTCCAAAATACCGAATTATGGAGGTTAGCCTTATAAGGAAACTAGCCGAAAATATGGACCAATATAATTAAGGTTTTGGTAGGGAGATGTGCTACCCGAAGAGAATCCTAAATATAAATGAGCATACATTATGTTAAAGACTTTACATACATGTTCTTGAAGACTTAAAGAAGAAAATAAATTGACAAAATATTGGTTTTTGTAGTTAAAGAAAAGTCCTGACTGTCGATCAAAATTCTTACGCAATTTAAAAGAGAACATCTGAAATAGGATTATTGACTTCGCTCAAAAATGATCAAATTAGCGGACCTTGGAAAATTATGCAGGAAAATAAGGAAGATATTGACCGATTACATTTATTCTAGTTCATAAGATAGCTATGTAGGTCACGAATAACGTGATAAAATTTGGAACCGATTGGATTTACAGTTTTTGAGTTATCGTGTCTGACAATCGTAAGTTCTCTACATATAGAACTACATGTATATCTGTTATTTCTATATCAATGGATAAAAACTTCATAAAGTAGAATACCCATAGTTTATAACATCAATAACCTTTTTATATCGGCTACGGCACGCCGTTACCGACAAATTTGGGTCCACATGCCTTTGAAGGCAAGGTAGGCTATTTCGATTTATTTGAATTTTGAAAATATCTACATATACTCTTCACTTGCCACCGAAACCAAAGAAATTACATATTCAGAAATATAACCTAATATAGGGTAACCATTACGTGGTTTCAAAAGTATGGGACTAGAATTGGACATCTGTGAAACTAAACAGTTAAACTAATTTGTATACCCTTCACCACTCTGTGTTACAGGGTATTATGTCTTTGTGTATATGTTCGTAACAGACAAAAGGAAACGAAATTGGCCCACGGTTCCTTTTGAGAATATGCATAAAATCTGTTTCTGAGTAGATTTATGCCGTCTGTCCATGTTAAATTGTAAACAAAGTACAAGTCGCATTTATGATCCGAAAGAAACGAAACTGCACATAGCTCAGTTATTTGGCCCAAGGACGAATCCTACTGGAATTGGAGAAAATTGGTTCAGATTTAGATATATCTCTCATATATATTTTCATCCGATTTTATGTAAATGGTGTACCAAACTCCCCCGATCTGTTCGATTGAGAAAAAATATTACACAGCACATTAAATTAAGTACATACATATAGATGTATCTGAAGTATTGTTGAATTCGGTTTAGACTTACATATAGCTACCATATATATTTTCGTCCGATTTTAAGTAAATGGTGCAAAAAGCTCCCACAATTTGTCCGATTGAGAATAAATGTTGCAAAGAGTACATAATGAAGTACATATTTACATAAGTGAAGTTTTGTTGAAATCGGTTCAAATTTAGATATAGCTACCATGTATATTTTCGTCCGATTTTATCCGATAAACGAATCACCAAACGCCCAAGGTACACTGGGGGTCAAACCTAATGCAACTGAAATTGCAAACAATATAAATGACCTGTAACTTTTCTAAAAACAAACTTATATTGAATGTTAAAAAAATAGGAACCCTATTTACTTTAAAAAAAATATAAACGCAAAATTTATTTTGAAATAAAAAATATTATATGGAAAACTAATTAGAGCAAAATTTTTGCCTGGTCAAAACTAAATTAATTTTTTGTAGCACACCTTTAAGGTATTGAATATATTAGATGCTTTATTTGATCTTTGGGTACACTATTCCTCGCATTCTGGACCCTTGGAGAGAGGTTATGTTTGTGAATCTATTATGATTTTTTTATGGTATCTATGATACTCCAAAGTTGTTTTTATAGGGGTAAGATCTGATGATTGTGCTGGCCATTATAAAACTCCTATTTTTGACTCCCGCAACCAATCTTTGACATGTTTTGGGGTGTTTGTGGTTATTGTCAAGTTATTGTCTTCAGCGAAGGGAGTCATTGCATTTTCCAACACATTTATATAAACAATTCGACCCATTACATCATAAATCTCGTAAATAGATGGAACACCATACTCCTCAGTACCCTTGCCATACTAAGGCATTTAATTCCTCAGAGGGCATACTATTTCTCCACTGAGTCGGATTCTAATTGATATGAGCTTTTGCGAAAGCTAATCTGGCTTTTCGATTATTTTGAAGAAATAAATGACATTCTTGACGGTTTCCGGGTATGTAGGCCAGTTACCACAGCTCATCTACGCTCTGTTCCTGAAGTTATAACAAACTATATCTCTTTCACCAATTTCGTGGAACTCCTAAATGTGTGTTTTTTACTTCACAACACGATGCAGCGTTTATTAACCATGCAGTTTTAAGTGATTTAGTTTTAGCCATCAGTTTACATATATTTTAATTGGGACTTTTGGCCAATAAGATATATAGAAAATATACTATTTTTTAATGCACATTGTTCTCAAGATATAGTTATTGGTATTACAACTTATATTTATAGATTATAGAGGCAGTTAACATCAATATTTTAATTATGTGTTATTTTTGGCCACTGTGAGTGGTGTGCGTAGATTTCGAAGGAGGATATTCTCATTTCAATTTTGAACGTTGTATGTTGTCAATGCATGAGACTACCTTGTATATTTATGCCATGATACTTACTTTCCATAAAACAATAATAACATAAAAACTTTTTGTGTTTTTTACAGAATTTTTATTAAATGCTCTTAAATTTTGAGTTTACACAAAAAACATTAATTTTTTATATTATTTATTATTTCAATACAAAGTGAAGTTTTTCTTTGTATTTCAGGGAACTTTAGTTATTTTATTTTTAGTATTCGATTATTGTTTCAAAATGGTGTGTGTGAGTGTGAGAGAGTGTTACATTAAGTTACAACAATGACATCTGCAGTTGGTTAGAGGAACAAACTTTGTACATAGATTTCATGAAATGTTATTGAAATTTATGACAAGTTTTCTGTAACCAATTTTTTAATAAAAATCAACAATATTACAATGAATATAGGTATTTTTTTAAGTTTAACATTCAAGGGGTTATGAGAAAATTTACAACAATTACCGAGTTTAAAAATGTAATAACAATAATCATTAACAAATTATAAATATTATAAATTTAAATTCCTTCAAAAATTAATTTATGAATGAAGTATTCGCAATGTCGGCAGGTTTCACTGACAAAAATATTTATTTGTTTAAAATAATATAAATTTAAAAGATACTCCCAACAAAAAGTTGTTGTTAATTTCCATTTATAACCCCCTCATCCTTTTGATGGTACCTTTATTAAGCATCTAACCTCTTCTATTAGCTTTATTAATATAAACGGAATGGTTTTGGATGTAAAACTTGCCCTGGCTTCTTTTTGGGCCCAGCACTTTTTGGTCGTTTCTGTTCATTGTTCAGCGATGGCATTGATACGGACAAAACTAAACATTCGGCTGGAAGAGACATTGAAGCCGATAGTGTGGTCGACCTTTGCATCTTTGGCGCCTTCCAGTAATGCTAAGGGGTGGGAAAGAGGAAATATATAATTATTAAAAATCTTTGTAATTTTATAACATTTAAAAATATTGAAAATTAAAATAATTTTAAAAAATTGTAAACTTACAATTCGCCTTTTGTGTTACGTACGATTTTTTGTTTTTGCAAATGTGCATATATTTTCAATCATTACCAATTGTTTGAGATCCAAATTTTATTGCTGCAAAAAAGCCCGCAATCGGTGACTTGGTGTTTTACATACTAACTGCTGTTCTACCAAATTTTATTAAAAAGTTGTGTTTGCTTAGGCCTACGTATGTATTTTAAATATATGTGAGATTATTTAAAAAATATTAATGAAATGTGTTTTTTTTAAATTATGATAATTACAATTAAATAATTATAATTACCCCTACAAAACAATAGCTTAAAATTGTGTGTTACCCAAATATTTTGATATAAAAAAGTTGATAAAAAATGGCCCTATTGAAATTGGAGAAAACCGGTCCAGATTTAGATATATCGATTGCTGAGTCTACTATAAGCAGAACACAAATACAATTGTGTTATAACCGGTTTAAGGAAAGCTTTGAAGGTGTCAATGACGATGTTCGTCCTGTAACCCGATCACGTCAAACATTTTTTTTCGATCTATTACAAGCAGTTAAATCTGGTGGTAGTGGGAATTTTTTCTCCCACCTTTGGGACCTTGTCTTCGCGGACCAGAACTGACTACGGAGGTGTTCTCTTAAAGCAAAAAAAAAAAAAAATCAAATATGGAATGTTCGAAGAAGAAGTCCAAGACAAATTTGGGATACAAATAGAAATGTTAGGGCGGCTCAACTATGACAGCCTAAACCCTGACGACATAGGCAGGAATATCAAAAAAGTATCGAATTGTAAAGTCTTTCGAAGACAGTTGTCCACTTCGAGAAAGGAAATCTGCCTTCGAAAAACCCTGGATAACTGGGGAGATTTGGAACGAAGGTAAAGATGTCCGAAGGCTCTACAACAGAGCTTGCTGCAAGAAATATGTAATATACTCGTATTGGGACCACTTTCACGCTAAAAAGAGATTATACAACAAAATGACGAAAACCGCTAAACGCAACTACGGGGAAATTTTCTGTGTAAATGACGTCTCAAAAATAAAGAAGTTTCTATCAAACACCCACACTCAAACCGCTACCATGGTAGATGAGGGGGAAATAGAATAGAGACAACAAAAGAAACAATAAGAGACCTCACGAAAACTCACTTCCCCACCAACACATCGACATCTGATGAAGTATCGTTGCAAAAAGAGAGTACTCTTTAACTAGTGTATACAGTTTGCGTATACTCTGAAAGCTTGGCAGGAAACCAGGGTAGTCTTCAAGGCAAACTGGAACACTTAATCATAATCTGGTTCGGCCACATGCTAAGGAATAGATGGATAAACTGTAGCCTACAAGACATAAATATCGGGGACAAAGTAGGACAGGGGACACCGCAGGGAGGTATTTTATCACCACTGCTGTGGGTTACTACAAGCAATAGTCAAACAAGGACCTTAACTGATAAGGAATTTGAACTCGTCTGTTATGTAGACGACGCTATAATACTTCGTCAGAGGTTGGGTCAGCGAGTTCACGACATAACACATGTTCGAAGTCTTTGATTTACAGGACAATACACTACTGCAGGCTTGGACACGTCGGCAAGTCTGGCTAAGACTAAGGGTGAATCGCGCTACGTGACCAATGTTGTCTACTTAATGATTGGGAAGGCAAGAATTGAAAGGGAGGAGTACAGGTATTCAATGATAAGTCAGACCAAGACTAAGAGTGAGGCGTTCTAAGTGCGCAACTCTGTCTACTTCAAGATTGTGAAAACAGGACTAGACACTGCTGGTAATGGAGTTAGAAGTCTTCTACAGGGAGGAAAACGCCGAAGTGACTTTCCTTGTGGTAGGCTTGGACAGGTTTTAAATTGCAAGTATGGCCAAGACTAAGTGTGAGACGCACTACGTGTCCAATGTTGTCTACTTAAAGATTGCGAAAGCAAGGATTGGAGAGGAGGAAGCCTCAAAAAGTAGCAATGGAGAAAAACCAGCGAGAAAAGAAATAAGGAGAAGATGACCGACTACCAAGAGGATCGATTATTGGAGGGTTATTGATTGGGCCCATTTATACAGTGAAACGACAACAATGGCTCTGATGGGAAAATTGATCAAAGGTAATATACACATCGGTCTAATCCAGCTAGCATGGACTGGTCAAAACAAGCACTGTGGATAAAACCACATGCAAACATTGACGGAGAATCTGCATAATATTCTACAAAAATGAAAGCTTTCTCTTCTCCCAGAGTTATCAACATCAGACTCTCCTATACCGACAACATTTACCTAGCATTAGGCTATCTTTCGTTCGACTTACCGATACAAGCACCAATGCCGGATCTGAAGTTACTGGTTATGAATGTAAAGAAAAGAGGTAACGAAGTACTAGTTGGTAGTGCTGCTAACTCACTTCACGTTATGTGCGGTAGTACTATTTTTAATAAATGGGGCCAGATCCTTGTAGATTATATGAATATTAACGACCTAATAACCTTAACATAGGAAATAAACCAATCATTGTTAATATAATTAGAGAGGTGGTATTATATATAAAAATATTTTTAGCGAACCTAATAGACGAGATCTAGGAATGAAGAGTCTCCCCCAACACGTCCAAGACTAATTGATAATTCGGGAGATTGATCAAAGACATGTTAAGGCTGCTGACCGAAAAAAGGCTACGATTTCCAGTAGAAAATTTACATACAAAAATTGGTTTTGAAAGTCATAGCATAATTTTATTCGAGATGCACTTTTGATTTTATAAAGGGAAATCAAGAACAGTTTTGATTAATTGAAGATTCTTGCAGTTTCAGGAACAGAAAAACAACTTTTAATGGTGCTGACAATTAAATGATACTAATGTTAAAGGGAAAAGGTGAGCTAGTTCGAAACATGAAAATTGCTTAGTCAATGGTAGCTACTTGAAGTCATCTACATGATATTTAAGAAAGAAAACACACTATTGCGTATGACTATTGTCGTTTCTTATACGCTACAGTTTAAATTACTGTATCTTTGTTAATAATTGTGATATTACCGTAAAACAAAATATATCGCTTGATGCCTCTAGGTTTCTAACGTTTGAAATTATTATTTTTTTGTTGGCTCAATCAATTTCGGAACAACTGAAATACTAAATTACTTCTGAGAAATTCACGATTGCGTATGATTACTATCATTAGTTATACGCCACCTATAATCAATACCTGTAACGTCGATGAAATTTTAAAAGCAGTATAAATATTTAAATTGGAATGTATATCATCTCTGCAACTTAAATACCTTGGAAGTAAATCAAAAAATCAGCTGTGTCATCAATAATGGGACCCGATGCAACGATCGTTCATTCATTTGCATACAATACAATCTCTAACATATTGGTTGAGATATATATTGAAGAGAAATCACTCTGCGTGTTTCGACATCCTCTTACATATATTCGAATTTCCAATCTTTCAAACACGACCGGAGTTTTAATGATTCTGCCTAATTTGAAATATTTTAAGGTTTAGGCAAAATTCATAATATTTCATTTCCAAATTAGTCTATATATTGACGGATTGGTTTTAGGTATTTGCAAGGCTTTATCATTGAACAATATTTTTTCTATAATGTGTGGCATACAAAGTATATTAAATATTTCAAATTTTATGAAATCGGAAGCATATGAATTCAATAGTCAGTTGCATAATGCAAACATTATGTCGAATGATATCTGCCATTACTTATACGCAACCTCTTCTTAGGTCTTCATAAATGAACGAAAATATAAATTCCGTTAAGCATGTTTATGCTATAAAAGTATACAATAAATGCATCACAGCTACCATATGGTGCAATTGTCATTAATAGCTAATGATGATAATATCCAAACAAAAAAAAATTGCAGTGCACTGGTGTCCATTTAAAATTTAAAACATCTTAATATTTCTTTTTATTTATTTAAATCTTTATTTGTTTGTCTTCATGTTATTATTTATTATTTTAAATACGTATAAATTTCTATAAACGGTAAATATTTCATCTATTTATTTTTTTGTTTGTCAATAATAGGTATTGTTGGGGGAATATGGTTTTCTGGGGGAGAGGGGAAAATGTATTTTTCTTTCTTTTCTTTTTTTGTATAGAATAAAATTTCTCAGCAGTTAGTGAGTTGAGATTTTTTTGAAATATATAAATATTATTTTTTCTTCTATATTGTATTTGTTTTTGTTTTGTGTTTTGCAATGATTTTAATCATTAATTTTTTATTAAAGACGTGTATTTTTTGTTTTCATGTTTTTTTCTGAATACATTTTGATGGCAATGTAGACGGTAACAGAAATGTATTAATTTTTTGTCCGGTAAATTATAATTATGTAACTATTGTTAGTGAAATATGTGCTTGATAATAATAAGAATAAAAATAATGATGATATCATTTGCAAAACTATTGTTTAATTAAGCTACTTGTTTATTTAATTATTACAATTTTGTTTCCAGAAAATTACAATACATTGTGTTTAAATTAATTTTAAAATGTTTGCTAATTAATAAGGCAATGTAAAAAATATATTAGATTAAAATATATAATTTGTTGAATTGCAAAATACAAAAAATATGTCAAAAAATTTTCTAATTAAAGTCTGTCACAGGCTTTATGCAAATTTATATTTTTATTGAAAATTACGCACACATTATTAAAAAATAGATAACGGTGGATTTGTTTGTTCCCTCTGCTTTAAAAATATGTTGTAAGGATATTATATTCGGAAAATAATATTATTTATACCGCAACGTGGTAAAAGTTGTCTCACGGTTTGAACTCTTCAAATTTGATTTCAAAGCGGGATTTGTTGAACTAAATGGAGACATTTCCCATAATAATGCCATGCCATAGTGCCGTATGATTTTTCTTAGCACTTATTCGGCAATT